CTTGTCTCTTCTAAGTTTGTTACTCGTTTATAAAAAATAATTGTAAATGCCCTACCAAAATTTTTTCTGGTCCCTCTTGTTAACTCTGACGGTTTCTTGTTAGGACCATTCCTGTTTAGATTTGAATTGGCATGATTATCACAAAGATCTTTACTCAGCCTGATTGAAGATTTATGAAAAAATACTATCATTGATAGTTGGAAAGGTTACCAAATTTCAAAGAAGCTCCAAATATTTAAACAAAGGATTATTATATGGAAGATGAATGTTTGGGGAGATTTACAATCTGAAATCAAGGATGCAAAGTCTCATATAGAGGAGTTAGATAATATTCAGTTTATGGGAGGTGCTTTAACACATGATCAATTCAGAGACAGAAGCTTATTGGTGGCTACGTATAAACAGTTTCTTAACTTGGAGGAAATTCATTGGAGACAAAGATGACGTGTGAAATGGCTCAATGAGGGCGATAAAAACACGAGATTCTTCTATGTTATTGCTAATGCAAGGAATATGGATAACTCAATTCAAAACCTTCACATTGAAGGACTAGACTATGATAACATGTCAGAGGTTGAAAGGGCATTGGTTGATCATTTCAAGAAGTCTTATGAGGCCGATAGTGAGATTCAACTCCATTCAAAATCTATCTTTTACTAGGTTGCCGTTAGAATAAGCTCAGTGGTTGGAGTGAAAATATGAAGCGCAAGAAATCAAAGATGTAGTATTTGGCCTAGGCAGAGATAAAACTCCTGGCTCATATGGTTACCCAATGGCATTTTTTCAATCTTTTTGGGATATTTTGAAAGATGATATTGTTCAATTATTGGAAGAATTTTATTGGAGAGGTAAAATTAATATTGTCATGAATTATACTTTTATTGCTTTAATTCCAAAGAAACATGTCATTGTGGAGATCAAAGATATTCGCCCTATTAGTCTTCGTGGTAGTCTTTATAAATTCCTAGCAAAGATTTTAGCCAACAGACTGCGTCAGGTGATTCACATAGTTATTAAAAGACCACAATCAGCATTCTTGAAGGATAAGCAAATTATGGATAATATTTTGGTTGCACAAGAATGTATCCCCTGAAGAATCAAGGATGACAAACCAGGCTTTATTTGAAAGCTAAACTTTGAGAAGGCATATGATAAGCTTGATTGGGGTGTACTACAGAGTATCATGGCTAAAATGGGTTTCCGTTCAAGGCGGAGATTGTGGATTGACGGTTGCTTGTCATTTACCCATTTTTAAGTTCTTGTTAATGGCAAAGCAATTGGTTTTTTAAAATGTTCAAGGGGACCCTCTTTCACCATTTTTATATACTTTGGTAATTGAGAGCTTCAGCGTCATGCTTAATGGATTGTCAATGCAAATGATCATATCAGGTATTAATATTGGTAATAATAGTCTTATAATATCACATTTACAGTAGACTGATGATACTTTTATATTATATAATCCCAAGGTTAAGGAAATCACTTGCCTATGGATTTTCTTGAAAAATGATGAACTCTCAACTGGACTTAAAGTTAATTTGAGTAAAACCAAGCTCATTGGTATTGGTTATTCGCAAATGGTAGTTTCAAGAATGGCACATTTATTCGGTTGCGGTGTTGAGTCCTTACCTTATACATATTTGGGAATTCCTCTAGTGAATTCGAGGCCTTCAAGATCAATTTGGGATGCGGTGGTGGAGAGATTTGATAAGAAACTGGACACTTGGAAAGCTAAAACTCTTTCTATAGGGGGAAGATATACGTTGACTAAATCCATTTTGTCCAACCTACCAGTATATTTTATGTCCTTATTTAAGATGCCAAAATAAGTTAAAAAAACAACTAGAGTGAGGAGATGACATCAGAATGAAAAGATTTCATCTGGTGAGTTGGGACAAAATTTGTAGACGAATGAAGGAGGGGGAATTTGGGTGTTAGGAGATTGAAACATATGAACTCAACACTTTTAGTAAAATGGTGGTGGAGGATCCATACACAACCTGAGTATTTCTGGGTGCTTGTTCTAAGAGATAAATATAGAATGGATTTGAACTTTGACTTCATTAAAAGTCCAAGAAACAAGATAAGTTTGTCCAGGTATTGACTATGAGAGATCTGTGTATATACGGCAATTCCGAAAAATTTGGGGAATGGAGAATCCACTCTCTTTTGGTTTGACAAATAGATTAGAGATGAATCGTTGAGATACCTTTTTCTTGAAGTTTTCTCAAAAGCTTTAACATGCTAGCATCTGTCAAGGATACTATTGGGGGTGTTTATACTAATATTGTTTGGTCCATTCCTTGTAGGTACAGGAGAGGTATAGACAGATTCATTGAGGCGTATTAGATATTGTTGAAATTATTGAATGACACATATTTGACTCCAAATTTGGATGATAGCTTTATTTTGGATCTTACCCCTTTGAGGGATTTTTTGGTTAAGTCAACTTACAATCTATTATGTTCTGATTGTTGGAGAGAGTTAGATGTTGGTTTATTCAAGATTAAGACATTGCATGTGCCTCTTAAAGTGCAGCTATTCTTATGGATCCTGCGTCAAGAAAAATTAGCAACTATTGACAACTTGATAAAGAGGGGTTTTATTATCACCAATGTATGTATCCTACGCAAAGACAATGATGAAACTTCGCAACATCTTTTCCTCTCATGCCTTTTTTGTAACATATCTTTGGGATTGCACTCGGTAGTGCTTCAAGTTATCATTACCTTTGCCCCAAAATGTCAGAGCTCTTCTTGACCAATGGATCACATCCGATATTTTAAAGATGAAAACTATTCTTTGGAGATCTATTTGGGTTAGGCTTATTTGGAAGGTGTGGAAGAAAAGAAATAGAAGAGTATTCGATAGTATAAGTACAGATCTGTCTATATTAAAATCGAATATTTTGGCAGTTGCAGCTGATTAGTTCCTTGCATATAAGGATAGTGGATTTATTTGTAAAAGTCTTATCATTAGCAATCCCTTGGTAATGGTGACTATGGGTGTTACCAACAACACTTATAGTGAGGTTGTTTGGATACCACTACCAGTGAATTCATTCAAACTTAATTTTGATGGAAGTTCACTTGGCAATACAGGACCAGCTGGCTATTGTGGACTCATCAGAAATAATTTGGGTCGCATTATATTTTCTTACTTGGGTCCTTGTGGTATCACAATAGCAAACGAGGCAGAAGCACGAGGTTTATTAAAAGGTTTGAAATTGCTATGTACTTTGGAAGGGGGCATGAGCATCGAAGGAGACTCGGCAAATGTCATTGCCTGGAGTAAGAGAAAGGCACATATTCTTTGGAGATTAAAGAATATTTTTCATCAAATTTGGGATATTTTGTCAACCTCTATGGCAACGGTCCAATATTGCTATAGAGAGGCAAATGAAAATGCCGATATTCTAGCCAAAGGAAGAGTCCATACTCCCTCTCTGTTGGTTATTTTATTTATGTAATCTTGTATCTTTGTTTGAACATCTTGTATTTTATATATGAATTAATGATAAGTCGTACGTTACCGTTCAAAAAAAAAAGAAAAAGAGAGAAGTCAGGTGGTCTGTGGAGTGCTAAATAGTGTGCCAACTAGTGAAAGGATAGTCTCATACCACTACCTTTTCCACTACCTTACCCATCGCCAACCAATTATGGATAACTATAGACTTTATGGTAAGATTTCCCTACACCTTGAGAGGGTGCAACTCTATCTTCATGGTGGTATATAGGTTATCAAAAATGACCCCCTTCATTCCTTTCCAAAACACTGTAGATGCAACTCGAGCAGTAGACCTTTTCTTTAAGGAGGTAGTCGGCTTTTAAGGTGTACTAAAGCCTTGGAGATTTGTTGAGGAACTTTGCCAGAGACGCATCTTGTCAATGGGATCGAGTTCGGTTCATTGAGAAGGCTCCATCCGAGGTGGTATATAGGTAGCTACCAAGCACTTGACCTTGTCCCTTTCCCCAAGGGGTACAAGATTGCGGTGAGGTGGAAGCTTTTGCTGAGCACAATCAAGACCTTCATTATCAAATTTTAAAAAATAATAGAAGTGCTATAACAAATACAAAGCTGATGCCAACTTTGGTGGACAGGAAAAGACCTTTAAGGTATGATACTTGGTAATGCTGTACCTTCGGCATGAGCTTTTCCTAAGAGGCACTCGCAATAAGCTCAAGTACAAGAAGATTACCCCTTGTTGAGTACTTCAAAAGTTAGAGCAAAACACCTACAAGATTTGAGTTTCTCAAAGGATATGAAATTTCTCTTGTTTTCAACCTCTCTTAACCTAAATGAGTATCAAGCTAGGTGGGAAGTACATTTGCCCAAGTGAAAAGGGGACAATGAGAGGGTATCTTGGACAGCCGCATCATTCCTACCCACCATAGATATTACAATCAGTATTTGGTACAATGAAAGGGCAAACCCAATGTCGAGAGTTCATGGATTTCCAAAGAATGAATGATAAAGATTGACTGGAAGCCCTTGAGGAGTTCATAGAAGGCTTCAACTCGAGAATGAATTCTCATTAAACCAAAGGAAATTAATGCAAAAAATAAAAGAAAATGCTAACATTTTGTGGACCGTGATTCTCTTTTCTTTTATTTCTTTTTTATTTTTATTTTTTTTTCCTCTGTGTTTTTTTTTAAAAAAATTCCAGGTAAGATAGGGGTACTTTTAGGTGTTTTTTCTCTGTAGTGGGCTTTTCAAAATTTAACAGAAAAGCTATTCCGTATACTATTTGGTCATAGGAAAGTTACGAAGGAAAACTTAGAATCTGAATTTAAAATTTGCTCAAGAAGAGGTATTGTGCATGACTTTCGAGGTGCTATGCATAGCTTGAGAAGGGGTATTGTCCATCAATGCTCTTAGGAAAGTTGAGAGAACTTTAGCTAACCAAGTCAAGTTAATAAAAAAGAAGAAGAAGAAGAAGACTTTTACCTGGCTAGGAATTTTTTTTTTTTTAATGAAAATTTTGCTATAAATATCAGAAAGCAGGAACATGGTCCCCATTTTGGGTGGTCCTTAGACCATTACAAGTTATTGAAGCAAGGCTTTCTTAACTGCAACCTATTGTCTTTGAATAACAATTGGAATCCTTCAGTTTCTATGCGATTATAAATTGTTTCTCTCCTCTCTTTTCTACATCAATTTACATGTATGCTTTATGAATAAAGATGAAGGTTCTTCAATGAAACTGTATGTATCTTCAAGAAATGGGTAAGGCCACTACTAAGTCAATATATTACAAAGTTTAGCGGGGGACTAACGAACCCATTTTCCTTCAAGACCTGCATCAAGCTATACAATTGTGGGTGGCATGAAGTATGAGAAACTTGGTGCATAACGTGCTTATTTAACAAGATCTTTGAATCTCAGACCGGAATGCAGGACTGATGGTCAATATCCTCTTGGCTAGGTTGCGTATATCATCACGTGTGGACTCATGTGATAAACGAATCAGCTCCTTCAGACCGCCTGAGGAAATCAAGTCCCTTGTGTTTGCCTCTGCAAAAATAATCACGTTATTGAGATGCATACGCCAAGGGATGCATAAATGATAAAACAAACCCTGTTTTTCAAGAAATATTCAAATGATCTCCATGAAATCACACATACATGATAATTTTATATTCTAGTTGGTTTTCGGGGTAAGTGAAACCTACAATTATTTATTTCCTGATGAATGCATAGCACTCAGTAAACTTTGGGGACCAATGATTTAAGAAATATCTTAGATAAAATGCCCATATTTTTTGGGGTAAATAATCCCATGTACATTACAAACATTTCAATAGAATCTGTTGTTGTGGATTCCACACACACTGTTGCGCCAAGCGGTTAGTTAGGTAGTTGCATTGAGATGTTTCTCAGTATTCCCAAGTTTTATTCAATAGTTGGAAAATGTCTTCCCGAGTACAATCTTTTGTTTGAAAACCTTGCACATGCAGGGGCTGGATCGGTTTGCTAAGTTCTGAAGATACATGATAGATCATTCTCCTATGTTCAAACAGGTGCATATTGAGATTAATCAAGAGCCGATGCGAGTTTTGGGGGAATAACTAGAAATATCAGGACAACTATGTTATCTTTTCGGGGTATTTGTAGAATTGTGAATCGTCAAAGCAAGTATCAAGCCCTTTTCTATATAATCTCACCATAGTGACTATATAATCTCACCAACCTTGATAGAGAGAGAGAGAGAGAGAGGCTTGGTGAAATACATGTGTTGTAGCATTTTTCATTCCGATTATTAAAGAACTAAGGATTTGCCCTAGGTCCCAAGCTCATCCTTCTCAAGAGCTAAATAGGTAAGATTTTCAATTACTTGAGTTACTTCCTTAGTAGAATACCAACAGAAAAACTGGTGCAATAATGTAAAGCTAGTGCAGCAATGAACTCATCATTCCATAGAAAATCTCACCATGTTGTGCTAAATGACAAAGGGCAAGCTCCATATGGCGCCTAACTGACAACTGGGATGAAGTCGTATGTGAAACAATCCATGGAAGTGCACCATCTTCTATAAGAAGGGACTGTCCTTTCCGGTGCCCTGCAAGGGGAGAAGTTTTATTTCAAATGAGAAACCTTGTGCAGTAACATTACGAAACCAAGGCAAATGGAATTGTAACCATACCACAATAGTGATCAGGATAATATTCACTTTCAAGAGCGATGATAATGATTGTAGAAGAAGGTGCTTTGCATTGCTGCAGGCTTTAGATGCATCACAACAGAAAATAGATGAAAGTTTGGAGACAAGCATGGGGATTCACTGCAAATGTTTTATGCATCCAATAATAGGAAGCTACATCTGATTAAATTGAATATGAGACAAGGAGATACAAAGTAGCTTATTTAATTATGTTCATCCTACATATGGATTCTATAATCCATGAATAACATGTTTCTTATGTTTTTACATAACTTGTAATAGTTATCCTAACAAGACTTACAAATGACATCTTTCACTAAGACCCAAGAAAAGCTATAAATCCTTCAGTAACATATCCTTGCGGTGTTTCCTTCGAGAATGTATACTTCGTAGTGCAACCTTTAAGAAAAATGTCACAAACTCCAACATCTCCACTTGACCTTTGAAGGCTGTACAATCACTTCCTCTTACTCTCTCTCCAGCCCAGCCCATGTACATGTGTGGTAAACACATTTCCCACTAATCTTTTACTCAAATACTATGTTAACATATCCTGTGTCAGGATATAAGTGACCTCAATCTCTCATGCTTGGATCTTGTTACAAATGTGGTAATAGTCCCTCTTTATGTGTGCCTGGATTTCTTGTGAAACTATGGCTCCTTAGTCATGCAAATCACTGCCTGGTTGTCACAGAAGATCCTCATACACGGGCACTTAACTAGATAGAATTTGAGTTGATTCATAGTCTTTTGCTGCGAGACAAGAAGCTAACTCTATAGTCGAGAGTGCAGCGATATCTTCTTTCCTTAAGCGCCAAGACACGGCTCCGCTGGCTAGTGCGAAGATATACACAAATATGGACTTCATCGCATCTAGATCGCCCTGATAGTCCGCATCATTGCATCTGAATGTCTGAGCCTCCTCTATAAGTGAGCACAAGATTAACAATTCTGTCAAATATCGCATAACCCTTTTAATCACCTTCACGTGTTCTGGACCTGGATTATTCTGGAATGTATTTATCACGCTCATGGAAAATAAGTCCATTTTTTTTCCTAATATAGCATATGTCAGTGATCCAACCACACTTATGAGATTCCCTGCATGGCATCTTTTGCTTTTGTTGCTTGTGGGACACATGGCTAGACTTAACTTGGTCTTCTTATCAATGGGCATAAGTATGAGTCTACAATTTTTCATCTCGAATCTTTTCGGTATTTTCTTGCAATATGCCTTCTCTTAAGATAACTGAATGGTCCGAAGATGCATCACAAGATGCACTATTTCCAAGACTTGAAATCTATTTTTTCTTCGATCTATACATCTTGAGGTTGAGATGATCAATTTGAAGATTTTTGGGGCATCGAAACAACTTCTTTTAGCGAGTTTTTGAGGTGCGCCTTAATTTAATGGTTTAGGGCCTGACCCTTATAAAAACTTTTTCCATACAATAATCCTCCTAATTGAGCACAAAACCAGTTTGTGACAAGGTCTCTTGAAACTTTATGTACCAATCACTGTCTTGATACTTGATTTAGGCCACAAAGGGAATTCTTAAGTTTACACCATAGGTTTTCTTTTCCCTTATCTATGAAGGCCTCTAGTTGTTTCATATAAGTTTCTTATTTTAACACCCCATTTAGAAAGGTTGTCTTTGCATCCATCTGATAGAGTTTAAAGTCGACATGGCTACTACAACCATAAGGATCCTAATGGAGGGGAACTTAGCTACGGGGGAGAAGGGTCATGGTAGAGTACAATGAGCATTTAAAAATGCAGAGAAAAGCTATCATATTAACAAAAAATAATATTTATCCATAAAAATGGAATAAAAAAGTTTGAAATTTTTTTAGCACCAACAGAATTTTTTATAAAAACTGATCGTAAAAATTTTGCATCGTTCTTAAAAAAAAATAGATAAATTTTAGCTAGGGGTAGATTATTTAATTGGCAAAAATGGTTCAATCAGTTTTCCTTTACAGTCGAAAACATAGCAGCAAATAAAAATTGTTTGCTAGATGCTCTAACAAGAGAAATGTGTTTTATGTTACAGAATAACTCTGTGGATTTCAAGAGCTATCAAGGCAGCAGAAGATTGAGTTTTTATGTACTTTTCTAGCATTCTTTCTGAATTCAGTAAATACCATGTGACATAGCAAATAGAAATCTTTATTGCAACTGAAATGAAACCATCTACAGGAAGACCATGACTAATTTTTTGCCCAATTTTACTTCCACGTAAATAAATATGGTGGAATATCTTGCCTTAACCAACTTTAAGATGGAAACCGAACTCTTTCTCATGTCTAGGGCATAAAGAGTTTGGGACCATGCTCTTTACATTCTATAAATGAAAAACATAATGACCAATTTATTTTCTTCTGATTTTCACCCATGAAGATACGTTGGTCCCCTAGGCCAACAAAACATCCTTGGTGTTAGACACTTGGGCAGTGGAATCCGAGTCAAAACAACACGATCCCTCCTTAGGGTAAACTAGCATGGTCCCCCTAAGATTCACATTCTTTAGTGCCTTGCAATATTTCGTTATGTGGCCATACTTACTTCCAATTATAACACTTGGTATTCTCTAAATCTTTTTCTTCTTAGGCCCATTATTCCCCTTTTGATTTTCATCTTTATTATTCTTGTTCTTGCCCATTCCCTTCTTCTTTCTTGAATGAACCAAAGTTGGGTCTCAAATTTACTAGATTCATGGAGTCTCTGGAAGCTAGAGCCATCTTGTGGCATTCTTTTGTCTTCTTCTCTCTAAGCATGGTGATGATCTCATCCAACTTTGGTGTGCTCTCCTTTGCAGTGAGGAATGAGGTCAAAGCATCCCATGAACTCGTTAAAGTGTTGAGCAGGTGGCACACTTGGATGCACTTGTCAGAAAATACTTGTGTTGCCTCAAGCTCTAGGAACAGTGATTTGAATGTTGGGATAGGGATTGCGGTCTTCCCTCCTTTCATTTTTAAGTATGAGTACTACTTCATAGCAAGTGTCTTTCTGGTGAGGGAAGGAGTGGCATAATCATTCTCGAGCTTCTGATGAATCTCCTTTGCAGACTTTAGGGTTTAATAGTTGAGAGTGTGGGAGTCATCCATAGCCACTGATACGAGTTGCTTAGCCAAGGTATATCTGTGCTCCCACTGAGCATAAGAATCCCCATAAGCATCGCCTCTTGATTCAGGTGGGGAGTTCTCTATAAGTAGCAGAGTCCTTCAAAGACGACATAGCCTATCTTTCTTTTTTTTTCGTCAACTTGCATAGCTCTTGCCATCGAACCTTTCAGTCTGCAGTCATTCAGCCATAAAGCCTTAGGTTGCCATGTTCTTGATTCAAGAAATAAAAAATTACTAAACTATGGTGGTAAAGGACCTTCTTCAAAGATGCGGCTATGTCAAATTTTGAAGTATAAATTAAAAATTTTCTTTATTAATAACTAGAATTTCTACTTACAAGTGGCATAATAAAATGTATAAATAAAAAAATAAACCTACTATAATCTAGGACCTTTGATTTTTATTATTGACTTTTACTACCAAAACAAAACTGTATTCATATGCTGAATACAAACTTTCAATCATCATCATCATCATCAGTATCATTTTAGCCTTTTCTCAATTAATTGGGGCCGGCTACATGAATCCTAGTTCTCCATTCTGCTCTATTAAAGGCCATATCCTTAGTGAGGCCATAAGTCCCTATATCTTTTCGAACTACTTCCAACCACATCCATTTGGGCCTACCCCTTTCCCCTTTCAATTCTTTCACTTGAACTAACTCGCACCTCCTAACATATATGGTACTTAGCCAGTGCCACACATGGTCAGGCCACCTAAATCTACTCTCATTTTATCGTCTATCGATGCCACGTCAAAATTCTCTCAAATAGATTCATTTCGAATTCGACCCCTTCTTGTATTGCCACTCATATATCTCAACATCCTCATCTCCGCTACACTCATTCTTTGGGTATATTGTTTTTGTCCGCCCAACATTCCGGCCCATAGAGCAAAGTTGGTCTCACCGATGTCTTATAGAACTTATCTTTCATCCTCATTGATATGCGGCGATCACATAGAATTCCAGTTGCACATCTCCACTTCGCCCAACCAGCTCTAATTATGTGTGCGACATCTTCCTCAATCTCTCAATTTTCCTGTACTATTAACTCAAAATATCGAGAGTGCAGTCGTTTATGTACTTCCTAGCCGTCAATCTTAAATTTTTCCTCTTCTCTACTTCTATTATTACTAAACTTGCACTCCATTTACTCTGTCTTAGTCCGACTAATTTTAAAACCTTTGGACTCCAGAGAATCCCTCCAAAGTTCTAACTTTGTGTTGACGTCGTTTCGAATCTCATAAATCAAAACTATGTTGAATACAAACTTTCAATATGAAACCAAAAACAATTAGGAATTCTAATTTAAGTAGGAGTCATAGTCCAAGTAGAACTTGATCTAAATGGAAATCCTAATACAATTAGGACTTCTAAATAAAAAATGAATCAAGAACTAAGAAATAAAATTGATACATAAAACTAGGAAGACGTACTAAACCTTTGCTTAAGGTTACCCCCTTAGAACTTACACTCGATTTCCGAACTGATGGCGCACTCAAATCCTTTGGTCCTATTGAATCCCCAGAACTTGGGAAGCATCTCTAGAACACCCTCTAACGGGTCCATGTAGCAGAAAGCATAGAACAAGATTGGATTTCTTTCAACCCCTTAAACTTTGAATCATGCCAGAAAGGTATCTACCCTAACCTCAATACAAGATATAGATATGGGCCGGCATTACCCCTAACATGGCTAGCCTAGGTGGTGTGTGCCACGTTTTATGGCCTTGCCTTTTAGGTAGGCCTAGCTACCCTAGAAAGAGAGAGAG